GAAGCTAGCTTAAGTAGATGCCGGAAAGGCCGCTTTGAATAATAAAGTGCACCGTTTCGCTTCTCTCTACGATTCTCAAAAATAGCTTCTCGGGAAGGTAAACCACTCACGTATTACTCTACCAAAGTTTTTTTTTACTAAAAAGCAAAATTTAAAAAAAAAAGTTTAAATCACAGTTAAAACCATCTTATTATCGACTGTATCGTGAAAGTCTTCAGAAAACTGTCAGATGGGAGATTTATAGAGAAAAAACATTTTTTCTTCGGACTAGCGTCTTTTAACGTGTTATAAGGTGATAAGAATTTAACGCTAGTCCGCTTAGTATTCACTGTCTTATTTTATAATTCTGGTATAAAATGATATTTAGATAAAATAATATTTATTTATCAGAAAACTTTATTAATCAAAAATAAATTTAAAGAAAAATAATTTCTTTTAAATTTTAATTTAGAAAACGAAAATTAATAAAAAAAAGAAAAAAGCGAAAAATTATCGATTATTAAACTGAGTTATCTAATTCAAAAATGTTTTTTCTCTGGAAAAGAGAGGCAGAATAATATCGACGAATCAAACATAAATAGTTTTAATCGCAAGCTCTGGACTCGGAGTCGTAGCCTCTTTTTTTTGCTCTCACTTGGTTCATTTGTCCGGTGGAATCGCGGACGTTATTAGCAACTTTAATTCGGGAAAAGAGAGAGAGAGAAAAAAATACGCTTATGAATTCGAGCACCAGAGTATTCGAGGCGTGTCGTGTGTTTCAGTGCAACATCATTTAAAAAAAAAAGAAAAAAAACCTCTCGAATTTTCAACATCACCGCTATTGGGAAACGCTCTCGGCTGTGTAGTTCATCAGCCATCTCGTTCAGAAAATCGTCGGGCAAGAAGAAAGAAAAATTTGCAACACTAACAAATGCATGGCTGATACTAACGAAGACTACTCAAAACTCAAAAAAAAAAAAAAAAAAAATGCTTGCGCCTCATTTTAGCTTTTATTGCTCTCGCGTTGGAGTATGGCACTTCATATTCGTCACTGGATTAAAAAAAACAAAGAAATTGGTAAGAAATTTGCACTTAAGTTAAACTGAATGTTTTTTGAAAAATAATTCAGAAAAAAGCTAAAAATTCAAAACGTTGTGAATACAAAAATTTACAATTTTTATAAAGAAAGACTATTTTTTAAAATAATTTCAAAACCATTTCAAAAAATTGCATTTAGATTAAAAAAGTTTTAAAAAAATTCTAAAAACAAAAAATTACAAAAGGATTAAATAAATTTGTAAATTTCAAAGGCTTTGATAGAAAAATAATAAAATTCAATACTTACAAAATTATAAAACAATCTAATAATTTTCAAGAAAAAAAAAATTTGAGTTTAAAAGTATTTAAAATTTGAATTAAGATAAAAAAGCCGAAAACTTTTAACTTAATCAGAATTTAAATTATTCATATAACTACGAAACTAATATTAAAACGTAACTTTAAAAATTTGAAAGTGTGAAACAAAATGTTCAAATCTATAAAATTCAAATAAATTCAAAGACTAAATAATTAAAAAAAAATGTAAATTCAAATAAGAAAGTTATTAAACAAACCTTTTTTTAAAATAGAAACAATTTTAGATAAGGATTTAAGAAACTAATAAATTCATAAAAATATATGTAATATAATGTAATTTTGATAAAAATTTAACAAGATTCATTTCTTCATTACGTAGATTTATACTGAACTTTAATTCTTAATGTGCTAACCTACATTTAATTTACATTTTTTTTGCAATTTTACTAAGATAACTATTGAGAAGAACTTTTTTCACAAAAAGTTTGTTACAAAAATTGATGAACAACTGCTCGTCAATGTTTCAAATAAATAAAAAAACAATAAAAAATGTTTCTTAATTTAGATAAATCAGTAAATAAATAAATAAATAAATGAAAAAGACCATAAAAATAATGTGAATAAATGCATAAAAATAATAATTATTGATCTGAATAATTATTGAATTGCTCTTACACAATGTTTATTAAATTCAAAAATATAGAAGAAAAAATTAACAATAAGTGAAAAATAAAATCTTATAAATTTTTTTTATAACTACAAAAGAATTGTTAAAATAAAACAATTTAAAGTTGTTATGTTTATATTCGAGAAGACAATAAGAAAAATTTATGAAAATAAAAAGAATTATAAGAAGTTTAAAGCAAAAATTATAATTAAAATTAAAATTTAAAATAAACATGATAAAAATCGAAACAATTACAAATTATTTCTGTCAATGATAAAACTCAAGCGAAAAATGTTAAATATACAATTTTTTGTGTGTTGAAATTTGAATTAGAGAAATTTTTTTTATAAGCAAAAAGGGGTTGTATTTAGAACACTTAGGGCTCTCACAAAGATGGACGCGAGGCTCTGTGGTGAGAGCGCGTGCGAAGAAGTGCCATGCTGTGAAATTCTCTATTCAGAAATTTTTTTTTGTTTTAGAACCCTTATAATAGTCGCGATTTTTTTGTCCGTGCGGAACGGCTTTTCTAGAATGGAACAAAGAGGGTAGACGTAAAAGCGATTCCCAAAAGCATAATAAACATTTTTATACTTCTTGAGAACACAAATTGAAAATTAAATATTTGCACCGATACACACGTCACCCACTTTATGTGTTGTTATGATGTTTAACTCAGCTAACTCCATAATTGATTCGATAAAAATAACAATTTCTTGTCAACACTAAATATTTTTTTGAAAATTTATTTTGAAATATGCATAAAAAATTAATAAATATGAATAAAAGAATTTAGATGTTTAGAAGAGAAAAAAATAAATTAAATAAAAGAAATTTGAATTTTCTCGAACCAAAATGTGGGATTTTAGTGAATGTGGTCCAAGGAGAGAGCTGAACACGACCAGCCGTTCCGTGATTGATAATACAAAAATTTTAAGAAACAAAAAAAATGTAAACAGACTGAAAAATTATAAGCCTTAAAAACTCATCGATGGCTCAAAGGGTGAAACCCCTTTTTACTTCCCGTTTTTTTTCTATAAAATATCTCTGCCTTGAATTAATATTGTATAACAACATTTAATTTTCTTACGTCTAATGGGACTCCATTGAGACTGAATTTTTTTCGGCAATTTTAATACCATTTTAATTCTTGGGGGATTTAAGAATGTGTATAAAACTCTGGTGAAATTGTTAGGGATTACTTATTCTCAACGTTGATGAAATAGTTATATTCAACGAGGGAAAGTCTGACAGAGTGACAATTACTTCCTACAAGAACGAATTTCCTGTGAAAATTGCTTTTCCGTTTCTATTTTATTTGCATTGCAATAGAAATTCCTTCATTGAATACTTCGTTTCTTTTATGTGGATATTTATTTTATTATAAATAATGAATAAAATCGTGTTACAGTAAACTCTCGGTAAATAATGATTTTGATATGCAATACATAGAGGTTTCTTTGTACAAAATAGTATTTGTACTCTTATCGAGGGTCGAGTACATTTTTCAGTTAAATGAGAACTATACAGTAGAACTTATATTTAAGTGAGCCTCGTTGTTTCAATTTAAAATACAACAAAGAAGAGTTTAAATATTTGTTAGAATTCTTTTGAAGTTGATGAACTATTCAATAGATCCTCAATAACTGGTAAAGTTCATTAATAAATATATATGTGTTCTTAAGAACTGTTATAGGGTGCAGTGTACCCACTATCTTTCATGTTGCTATTATAAAGACAAAAGTAATTGTTGAAGAAGCACTAATTTAAGTAACTTTTTTTTAACGGATACAGCGGATTTGATTAGTTATACTCTAATGAGGTCACTGTTTGACATTTTTATAAAGCTTGAGACTCAAGATGCGTTAGACCCCTCATAGTTAGTATTGAGGATCATAGTACCTACGTTATTGAGGATCCACTACTTCTTTTAAATTATTTAAAGACTGATTTTTAAATCAGACCTTAGATCTTAAAAAATCAGTAGAACTTCTATAATACAGATTATTGATTGAAGGTCATTATTGATTATGTAACTCATTATTGAGAGTTTACTGCATTTTTGTTTAAAAATGCAGTAGACCCTCTACAACTGATACAATCTATTATTGAGAGATCATTGTATCTTTAATTTTTTACTTCTAAACATAAAAATTAATTCTATGTTCCGAATTAAAATCGAATTCTTATCGAGAGAATACTGTATAATATTTGTAAGTGATTTTGGTAATTTTATTTTTTTAGTAAAGTTTTCAATGAATCCTCCTTCCATCCGATAAAATGTCATTTCATCCCGAAATCTTCCCTTAATATTAAATAGAAAACCTACTTTCCTCTCATCATTATTATATGTCTCCTGCAATTAATATCAACAAGCCAAAATCATTGTTTGACACTACAAATGGCTCGCAAAAATCATATAATTTTCTGAAAATATTATCATGCAATTCGCATGACATTTTATGTTTTTCACTATTTATATATTTATTTGTTCGTAAAGTTCAAAGAAATGCATGAGCTTTGTTTAATTTTTTTATTCCATATCGTGTTTGTACGTGGTAGAATAATATAATTTCTGTTCGTGAATTCTCAAGTCTCAAAAGATTAAGTTTTCCTTGTGTTTTTTTTGTGTTGTATAACCGCTTGTCTTGAGCTTTGTGACTATGTATACTTTATAGTGCGCTATTGTGTTTGTTCAGCAAGTGAATCGTAAACACGTAGAATTTGTAAGGCGAAAAATATATTCGACTCGCAGCTTCGAAGGACGTGTAATGAGGCGTTGATAGTGAACCTTCATTGTAACGAAAATTGCACCAGATTCGTTGCATTTTGCACGCTTCGTTAAATTCTTCGAAACTCGCGATGCTTCGAGAGAGTAACTCTCTTTAAAGAGTTGGACATTGCTGAAAAAAAATAAAATAGAAAATAAAACTGCTTTTACAAATTGAAAATAATTTTTCAATAAGAAAGTTGATACTAATTACATTTTTTATTGATGCAGATTTCCGATTTGAACAGTCAAGTCAACGACCTCCGAGGTAAATTGTAAGTATCCATTGTTTTTAATAATAATTAAAAAATCTGTTCTATAATCATTTATTCAATTTTGTCAAATTTTAATTAATTGCCATTCATCATCAATTTATTCAATTAATTTCATTATTTTATGGATATTGATAAATATATTGATAAACATAGGACCTCGAATATTTTAATGTACATAATTATTAATGAAAAAAAGAGGATAATAATTTTTTTTAATAGAAACTTTGATGAAAATTGATTCAATTACTTGAGTATATAAATTAAGAAATAAAATTAAAAATTCTATTACTTACCTACAGTATGAAACCAACTTTGAAGAAAGTTTCTAAATACGAAAACAAATTCGCCAAATTGCAAAAGAAGGCTGCTGAGTTCAACTTCCGCAATCAACTCAAGCAGGTTAAGAAGAAGGAATTTACCCTCGAGGAAGAAGACAAGGAGGTAAGAAATTTTTCTATTCTTGGCGTAAATTCTTATAATCAACGCGTACAAAATTTCTCAATCGAACTTTTCGGTTTCCAATCAATTGCACTTTTCTTCGCGCGGAGCAACTTTCTAAAACTATAACTTCATTTTTAAAACAATATAATTCATAATAAATTTTTACTTTTTTATTTCATTTTTTACTTTTAGTTTCATTTTCTTATTACTTTATTGTTATACTTATATTTTTATTATTATTATATTATTGTTATCAATTACAATAAATTAAATAATAATAAAAAATGATTTATTGTTTTTATTATTGTTTTATTTATTTTGTATTATTATTTTTATTGTTTTTATTATTATTGTCATCTTTATTCATTTGGTTTCTTCTGTTTCATCATCATTTTGTTTCTATCATTTTCTTTCTTTTATTATCAACGCACTAAAAGAATTCCAACTGAAATTTTGATTGGAAAGGAAAATTTCATCGGAACTCTGTTGCAATTTCATAGAAAAATATTCTCAGAATTCTGATGCAATTTCCAGAAAGTATCAAAATCTTCCCAAGTAGAATTGCGAAACATTTTAATTTTTTTTACCGTTGATTTTATATTTTAAAAGAAAAGAATTATATTTCGTCAAATTTTCAGTAGACCCAATTTATTTAGAATAAAAAATAAGGTAGAATCAAATTATTTGAAGAAAAATATTATTATTGAGGCGAAATTTATAATTTTTTGTTAAGAAAAATTTCCAAAGGTTTGTTTATATTATCCAATGTTTAAAAAACTTTTTTTCTCCTATTTTCGATTTTACCCTATATTTTTCATTAATGGTTTTTGATTTTTTTATTTTTTGATCACCCTGGACTTGTTTTTTTGTCCGACCGCAAACAAGGTCATGTTTTTTACCTCTCCCCCACACAGTAGATTTTTATTGTTTTTTTCTCACCCCTACATTCATGTCAGTAGTTACAGTAGTACGTATTTCGTCAGCCAATTTAAGGAGATTTGCTGCCCAATGAAATATTTGATGAATGGCAGCGACTATTTGGAAAATCGTTTGTTGAAAATTCAACCCCATTGTCAATTGGTAACACCCCCAATCACAAGTATTGTATTGACAGTGCGATTGCTGTTTCGACATTTAACGACACTTTTTTTTTATTACAATCAATAATTTTGCATTCGCCTGCTGTTCATCCCTTTTATCTGAAAACATCCCTTTCAAATGACGATTCGTTGTGTTTTTTGCCGTTTTTTCTATAAAGCGAATACAAATTTCAACACCAATAAACAGCTTTTGAGAAAGAAGAATTCATTGTGAATACAAATCGTGATTTATTGGGAAAAATATATTTTTTGACAAATAAAAATTTATTTATAGAAAATTTGAAAATTGGAAGTATAAATACGAAAATACTAGGTTTTCTTTAATCGAAATTTATTTATTTTTAATTTTGTAATATTTTATTCTATTCATGATTTATTTTTTCTAGTATTTTCTTTATTTGTTAGGAAATTTTTTTCTTCCGTCTTAAAAGAGTAGTTTTTAATTTATATTTTCGTTGCATTAAATTGCGGTACTATTGATAAATTATATGAGGTCGAATAAAAATTTCATCCGATTCAAATCGATTTTTACTTTAAGAAATTTTCCTTTGACGTAAAGAACTCTTTATATGGCAGTATAGAAAATACTTTTGTCGGTAAAGAATTTTATATTTTCAAATAAATAATAAAATGGATAAAATTTTTTATCAAAGGAAGTTTTTCAATGTCTGTAAAACAGTGTATTTTTTACTTATAAATTTAGAATTTTTAACGAATAGAAATAATATAAATAAATCAAATCAAAATTAAATGTTTAGTACATAAAAAAGTAGAATTTAAATATAATTTCAAAAATGAATAATAAATATAGAAACATTAGAATTTTTTAAAAAATTGTTCAATACAAGTTAAAAAAGAAATTATTTGGAAAAAAATGTACTTTGAGAAAATCTCCTTAAAATGGTTGAGGAATTTATTGTAATCCACGTTGTAGTCAGTAGTTGATTAGGCAATGTGTTGTTCTCCACAGCCCAAGAAGTCCGAGAAGGCGGAATGGCAGACGAAGAAATAGATAACGCATACACAGCCTCAAATTCGACATTAAAATATAACCATATAATTATTGTTTATTAATTTTATTTATAATGATAAAAAGAACCGTCATTATAAATCTTATACAACTACGTGCGCGCACATGCACGACACACCGATAAGACACTTTTTATATATAATCGTTATATATGTCAACAAAAAAAACCGAAAAATTTCATCAACGCTTTCCACTATCGAACACACACGTTGTTTGCCTTTAATCGCGAACTTTGATTTTCTTCGCTCAAATCGCGACATCAAGGACGCAAACTTTATATATTATGAGCTTTTTCGAACTTTACAAACTTTCAAGTTTAATAATAAATGTTAATATTGTGCAGATAAAAAAACTCTATTTTTCCAATTTCTCTCTTTTCTCTTTTTAACCGCAATAAGCATATATTAAGTATTTGGAATTTATGTCTGCAAAAAAATCTCTTTGTCAACTAATTATAAATAGCGAAAAGATTTCGATTTCAAATAATTTTCATTTTTTGCTTCTTTTTCTTGTTGATCGTGGTAATTTTTATTTTTTTTTGCTTTTTGTCAGAGACGCGACGATTCGATTAAACTTTTTATAATCTCTAAATTTTTTGCCAATATAGATTAAAATTTTCATTATTTAAATGAAGAGAATACAACATACTAAAATGATGAATTTAATTTTTAATTGAATTCATAATTTTAGAGTTTGGATTTAATAACCGAATTTATGCTTGAATTGGTCAGTGATAACGCTCGTACGAAAGCTTTCTTTTATTTGATTGGTTGTTGCTTCATGACCTTGAAGAGCAGCCAATAGAATTTTGAGAAAGTGCGTGGGAGAACGTGCGCGAAAGTTGTGCGCATCTCGAGCAGAGAGGTGGTTATTGCATCCGCTTTAAAAAAATGAATTTTCGATTTGCAATTGTTATATTTAAAACTGGTTTTTAATTGTTTATTGTAAAGAAAAATAATTATCAATTAAATTAAAAAGCTAAGAGTTTCAAACCAAAAAATAAATGAGAATATAGTGAAAATAAAAATTAAAATATGATAATTTTAGTGCAAAAAAGAGAGATATCGATATCGTTGCTTTGAACATTAAATCATTACTCTATTACTGTTTTTTATGTATCTTTTCTTTTTTTCTCTTATCTGTCTCTACTATAATATTTGAAGCAAGCTAATCCAATTTTCACGGCCCTCTTTGAAATAAAAAATTGAGGGCCGTTTGCCTCTGACGCATTTTTCGCGAGCAGTCGAACCAACGTAAAGTTTAACTGCGAGCACTACTAGCCTGTAAAATATTTGGAAAGCAATTTATCGAGCGAGTAAAGTGGCGCAAGAAGGTGAGAATGGCTTACAACGTATTATCGAATTACTTCTCGCTCCGTGTACTATATATATACTATACATAATCGCAAAAAAGCGCTTTACTTACACTACTATATTTTTCTATCATTTTTCTATTTTATCATTTTTTACGTGTGTTTCTCTATTTTTATTACTCTTTTCACTTTTATCCTTTTTTCTATTCTTGCTATATACTCGCTGGTATATATATATACAGTTTTCTGTTTCATTCAATCAAACACGAGTTTAATTAAAAGTGATCCTTTGGTTAATTGAAACCAATGTTTTATATTAATTAAAAGAAATGTTTGATATATAATGTTTGATAAAGTGAATTAAAAAAATAGTTTTAATTAATAATAATAATTTTTATTCAGCAATTTATAATGAAAATTATGTTTAAAAGAAAATATATATATGCAAAAAATGTTTTTTTGTTAAGAAATCATCTGAATTGTTTGGATAAAATTTAAATTTTTCAACGTTTAATTTAATACAGTTTTATAATATTATCGCTGTTTTATATAAACAAAAACATATTTTCATCGAATTATGTTTTACAAATAATATTAATAACTAAGATTATTATTTCCTATTACGAAGTGTTTAAACTTTAAAGTTAACCATTTAAATTTAAAAATTTTGTAATAAAATTGTTGCTATAACTGTATATTTATACCAAAAAGTTGTGCTAACTATTAAAGTACGGTTTTTAAATTTTTTATACTTCCACTCTCATTCATACTCTCTATTTCTATTTTACTTTACACTTTCCGCGCACGTCAGGCAGGCAAAATTAATTAAATACGCTACATTTATTGAAATTAATTTGATAAAAAAAAATATTTAAATTAAAAAATATATTACATTAATACAACTCCTTTCAGTTGACACTCATTCGGCTGCCAAGCTTCGAGGCTATATGGTTTATATATGTATATGTGTAAAGGAATGTTGTCTTGTCCAAGGGCTTTTTTATTGATTCTCACATCTCGATATTTGACATTTAATAATTTAATTTTAATCTTATAAAACTAAATCGAATTATCATAATTCAATTTTTTACAATAACATTTTTTAAAGGCGCATCTAGAAAAAAAAATTTTTTAAAAAGAGTTCATTTTTATAATTATTCTACATTATCCACTCAATGTAAGACAATTTTTTTGACATGAATTTAAAATTAAATTCATTTTGAGAGAAAACTTGTTTTATAAAAAAGAGTATCTCAACCTTTCTTTAATTATAATGGTAAATAAGTTTTGATATTTTTACACTACTTTCTCAAATTTAGAATTTTTTTTATACCATTTAAATAAAATTAAAATAAATTTTAATTAAATTTTCAAAATTATTTTCCTCTTTAGTTTGTTTCTTAGAAGCTCTTTTTCCTGGGAAAAATAAGATAAAATAATATCTTTCAATTTGAGTAAGATGGAAAGCATCAATAATGGTGCAGGTGTCAATGAAATGAATCGTCTGTCAAAAATTTATCGACACGTGAGAATGTCGAGCCATTTATTGATCGACATT